AATATAATAACAATGCTTGGCACCCAACAAACTCAGTAAGTGTTAACTGTTATCATCAGTCATCAGTCTTCCTGTGACAAGCCATGGGGACAGGGGCCTGGGAATCGACTCTCCCCTGAGAATCGAGGGTGGATGTGTGGAGCCCAGGCCGAGTCACCTAGTGTGGATTGTAGAGAAGTGGGGCGAACACCAGGAGGGGGCTGGTTGAGTGCAGAACTGAAGGACTGGGCTTTAAAGGAAGGTGAGGATAATGAGACAACGCCCTTACCCTTGAAGTCTCCACCTGTTTAAAGAACAGACGGCTTCATGTGAGGCTGAGCGATCTTAGCGACTTGGAAAGCACCACACAGAGAGCCGTGGTTCCCCTCTTGCCAAGTCACTGACCAGGTCCGGCGCATCCCTTGCTGCAAAGCAGGAGGCCAGGGTGCCCTTACTCCTAACACCCCGTGTCCACAAGGTGGGAGGTGAGGGAGGACGCTTACTCTCAGTGTCCGGAGTTAAAGCTTTGTTCTTCAAAATGGCCAAAGTAATCAGCAAGTGATGGAGTAGCTCTTGAAAAGAAACCTGGCATTTAATTAACTTTTCAAAGTGCTGGTTCAGCAACCTCTGTGTTTTACATTTTGAATATTGAACAAGCATCTCTAATCAGATCTGAATTGCTTCTGGGCCTCCCCCGGTGGACAGCACCTGCTGAGCTTTTACGAGCAACACAGAATCCTGAGTTTCAGGAGGGCCAACTCAGAGTCACTCGGGAATGGAGCCTTCAGTCTGTGAGGCCGTTGCCTTCCTCCCCTCAGCCTGTAGGTCAAGTCAGAGTTCGTGAACGCTTCTGTAAGAAGAAAGTAGGCAACTCGGAAGGACAAGGCAGCAAGGCTTACATTCTGCTGCTTAGCGACAGAGAGTTCAGCCTACTCTCTGAGATGAAGTTTCGGGCAGTGGTTCTCACATACGTGACTGGGCTTCATTTCTAGAAATTACTACCTCAGGGGGCCTGTGATGAAGCCTAGCACACGGGTGCTGCAGAAGCTTCCCAGGTGTGATTCTCTTGTGCACCACTGGTTAAGAACTCCTGGTGTAAAGGATTCTCTCCAGCCTTCAATTAGCTATCTGTTGCCTCCTGTAAGTATGGAAAACCTGTGAGCACAATAAATCCAACCAGATGTCGGGGTGCCTGGGGGACATCTAAAAATCAGCGGGTATCTGCTTTTGAAAGGGCTTGGGGCAGTGGGTTTGGGAGATAAGGATTCTCGTTTCAGCATCGTCACTAACCAGCTCTGTGATGTGGACAAAGCACACAGAGCTTTGGTGGGTTGGTGCCCACTGTCCCAATGTATCGGTATATATAAAACGGTGCTCCTGAAGCCTGCTTTGCCTCTTTTCCAGAGCTGATGTTGATAGACATGAAAGTCTCTGCAGGCTCCCCAAAAGTGCTCTATCTCTGTACATTGGTCTCGCCAGTATTATAATTGTCGGGTTCCCAAACCCCCTAACGGCCACTTCTGGGGAAAGAGGCACGTGGGCCACGGGGGGGCGGTAAGAGACCAGAAGTCCAGGGTGGAGCTGGCCACACCTCTGCAGTCCTCCTGCCACGGGTCTGGGCCAGCTCACACCGTTTCCCCGGAAGTGTGTGATGACCCAGAACCTGCAGTCCTCTCCCTCAGCCTCCACCCACGTACACAGTCTGTGGGAGGCGGGGCTTTGGCCCACATCCTTCTTGGGTTACCTACCCTGCTGGGCAATGATAGACCACCAGGTTTTCATTATTTTTTAACCTGTCACCAGCAATTTAAAAATGCGCTCTGCATCGTGACTGGGTATTTCTGTACATAAAACGGAAAAAAATTTTATGTAACATTTATCCTTAGTATTTGCAGTACACTCTCTTCACTGTTCTTTGCTATTGGAAAAAAAAAAAAAAAAAGACAAAAAAGAAAGGCTCGTGGTGATCCTCTAAATTGATTTCATGGCTCACTAATTGTTCATGACCTGTGGTTTGAAAATCCTTATGCTAGGTTCCGTGTCACTGCATGGTCTGAGGTGCGTTTAGGGACTAGACAGGTAAAGTATAAATCTGTGGAGTGGGGGGTTATTTCAAAATAGCACGTTAAATTATATCACTGAGATACATAGACAAGTTATTTGCATATTCACAGTTCTATAAAGAAATGTACCCTCTGCCTCTTCTCCTAAAGCATGCTTCCCACTTCCTTTTGCTTTCTCACTTTTGGTAGCAGCAGAGCTACACTAGCCTCTTAACTTCTGTAAGAAAAGCAGCAGTGCAGGTGCAGGAGTAAAGAGCTAGTAGGGACCCCCAGGTGCCAGGGAGGGTGGGAGCTCAGGCTTGGAGGGGGTGGGGCACAGCCCAGCTTCCCTGAGTTTTTCCTCGTGGGAATGCAGGCCCAGTGTGGCCAGGGTTTGTATTTGAAGAATTCAGAAATCCGGACTTTTTTGTACAAAATCTCCCAATCTGGACCACAAATTAATGTTAAAACAGAAAAAAATTAAACCAAACCAAAATAAGCAGCGGTGTGGTGCCGCCCAAAATTATCTGCAAGCTAGGGACAGCCCAGAAGTGGCCAACTGTTTCAAAGGCAGTGTTTCCTGATGTTTCTCCAGGGCCCCACCCAAGTTCCCACTAGGCTTTCCATCTCCCAAGCAGAAGGCTCTCCCAGAACCTGCTCTTTCTGGCAGAGAGATTGAGAGACAGACGGACAGGCAGACAGACAGAACGCCCCGTGGGGCAGCCGTGCCCTCCATCCTTGAGGGCTGTCTCCCTGCTGCGGGAGGATCCTGGCCCCCCCCCCCCCC